CTTTATCCTTGAGTTCCTCCTTCATCATATTTTTATAGTCAAAACCAAGAGCATGTGCGAGTTGATGTGCAATAAAGCGAACATTAGCTCGTGTAAAATCAGTGTACACAGGATGAATATTCATGGCACCAACCATTGGACGTTTAGTTTGTTCATCAATAGCACATGTTACAGCCCAGGGCGAAGACCAAAGTTTTTTATTCGGACCAGCAGCCACATACAACAGATAATCAGCATCTTGCACATCCTGAGATGTGTGGTCGTCTGGGCTTGTGAAGTGAGAACAAACAGCATGATCCCTCAAATTTGGTACTTTCCAAGGTGTTTTTATCCGCTGAACTAGGAGACGATCAGTGTGTAATTTGATAGCCTCGGGCACAATTTCATCAGTGAGTCTCTTCTTCTTTTCTTCGTTCATAAGATCAATAGAAACACAATTTTGCTCCTCCCCATCCAAAAAATCCCTGCGCTTTTCATCCTTATTTACACAGTACTTATCCTCTTTCAGATTTTCATAGGATACATTGATGCGCAGTGGTTCCCATTTATCATTTTCACCTTCAGATGTCGCCACGGTGTACGCCTGCCAAGTGCCCTCTCCTTTCTTCGGTACTTCTCTCACCACAACGACAGGAGGACCGCTCTTCTCTTTGATTTCATCGTAATTACAGGCGTATGCAGGTCCGGCCATAGCACCGCAGATGAACAGTAATAGCACCACTTGGAGAAGTGGATGCCTCATCATGTGAATAGCAAATGTAAACTTGATGGAAAAGCAAGTATTACGACTTGTGTATAGGATAATGGCGAAAAAAAAAGAAAAAAATAAAATAAAGAACACAGAAAACAATAAAAAAAAAGAAACAAAGCATACAAGACATCACACAGGGGAAAGAATGACATTCACACAACAATACAGCAGGGATATTGTTTAACCCATCCCCAAACAAACACTTACATAGTCCCCTGTAATACTATTATCCTTGGTGTCTTACGTACAGCATTGTATGTACTAAATAACTGAACATTCCATCTTTTTGCTTCAGTGCAATTGTTTTCCCCCAATCACACCAACAACAGCATTACCAAGAAAAACAAAGAATAAAAAACAATGGAACAAACAAACCAGGAGAGGTACAAAATACTCTTAGGTTCCATTAGAAACCATTCTCAAATGACCTGGGCGTACCTGTGGAAAAGAGGAGACTGAAGTATAGTCAATTATCAAGAAATAATAAAGTGAACATTCGAAATACAGAGAAACCCACAAACATAGCCACATCACTATTAATGCTTATAAATGTAACGAACCCTTTACAAATGCAGTTAAATGAGACCAGTAATATCCATACGATAGTATACGACTACTGTAATTAGACGTCAGTGGATGAGCAGATGCACTGCTAAAGCATACGCAACAAATAGCAAAACAAAATACGGAATGCCAACAGAAATATACATATTATATTAGATCCAGCAAAGAATTAAACACATGTATACATCGATAGTAATACTCTCAGAAACAACAATAACACAACCACGATAAATGCAATAACAAAGGCTACACAGCAATAACAAGAGCAGCGGCACCTACTGCAGTCAAATCCAATCACAACAGCTAAAGGATGTAAACAGAGAGATATGTGTGACATAATGTCATTCTCAGTGTGACTATCGCATTTGAATCCTTGAGAGACTTGGGGAAAATAAAGAAAAACAAAAAAAAGGGAAAAGAAACAACACATATAATAAACAATACAAGAAAAACATCATCTGCACTGAAGTAACCACAGAAAAACATAAACAAATAAACCTTCTTCCCCAGAACATTTTTAATTCAATAAAAAAGAAACCCATTAACAAAAAAAAATCCCCAAAAAGAAGCCCATCAGCACAAAAAAAAGCCCAATAATAAAAAGGAGCCCAAGTTCATGTTGATTCTTCATCCGACACTGTCATCGTTCTCTCATCATATTATGTGTGTACTCTCATGTATATGATAACGAACAGTGGGATTCTGCAAAATGTATATTTGATAATTAAAAATTTTCAGAAAATGAATATAAAATCAAAGCAAAAAAAAAAAAAAAAAAATCATTAACAATTAAAAGAAATTTTCCAATGCAGCGAAGAACGCCGAAAAATAAAAGAAAAAAAAAAGAACGGCCAATGTATTGCGGTTTATGGGATTCGTTTCAAAGGGCCATAATAAGCAAAAGTGTTTATTATTTCTGAATATGAATGGATCTCTTATGGAACCATCACAAAACCAACAACACCCACAAGAAGTGCAAGAGGGGCCATGTAGGAAGTGAACATGATGCTGCTGTCAGGACCCAACGCACCCATTACATTTGTATGTTTTAGTGTTTCTTCTTTTATTTGGTCCTCAGTGAAGTTTGTACCATTCAAAGTACCGTTATTTGCCGTGTGAGAAGACGATTCATTTGCAGCATCAACAGTGTTGGGATTAGATGTGGATGAGGCATCATCATCAGTACCACGACGATTTCTCGATGGAAGCTCTTCTCTTTCAGCATCACTTTGAACTTCAGTGGGAGATGTAGAAGAATTCTCGAGTTGCGATGTTGACTCCACGGTCGGTGTTTTTACCTCGTTTGGTAATGGAACTTTAGTTTGTGGTGTTTGGGTTGGTGTTTGCCTCTGGTCTTCAGCTTTGGGTGATGTTGTTTTATCGCCTTCAACGCTCTTTTCTGTCGGTAAATCTTCATTGGCCCTTGCACGGTCATAGGGGCCAACGACAGCAGGGGCAGGAACAGGTGAGCTCTGGGCGGGTGGAAGCGAATTAACAGGGGACTCATTCTCTCGCGATTGCTCTGCAACTGTCAGCTGGTTCGTATCATTACTCTTGTGGCTCAAAGAGTGCTCTGCGGGATTGGCGGCGTTCGTGTCGAGACGTTCATCATTGCGTAACGCACCCACATTAGAAAGACCAGTGCTTTCTATGTTCTTTTCCACGTTTTCACCCGTAGGGTGTGATGGCAGCGATTCGGTTTCTCTATTGACATTCGGAGGGTTTGACAAGGATGCAGCTTCTTCCCGCGCTACTTGATGGTCTAGCGCGGAGGATTCTCCATCTTCATTCACAAGAGGACCGGGTGGAGGTAGTGACACGTGGGGCAGCTTCTGAACCTGTACTGGTTTCGCTTCTTTTTCCTCATCTTTCACATCACCCACGTACCCGTCAGTAACACTTTTGCCATTGTAAAACTTAATGCTGGTAGGAACTTCAGCTTCAAGCAACCCAATGCACACTTCTTCGTATTTGGGACACTTAATACTTCCCTCACTGAACTCTGAACCAACCAGTTTAATTTCATTTTTATCCTCTTCGCAATTATGCCATTCATCTTTACCATAACCTTTGAGCTGTACACTCACCTTCTTTCCATCCTCACACTTCAATTTTGCACAAACACCAAGAACTTTCATATCGCCTTTCTTGAGCTTCAGATTTTCCGCTTTTAGACACCGTGACATATTGCTCACAAGGCTGCCAGGCATCAAACTCTCCTCACCACCCTCACAGGCAGTACCTATCAAGGGTTTAATGATTGGATAATTATCCATCAAGTCATTCGTTTCCAAACCTCCGTCTTCATCCTGAAAGTAATGATATCCATTGGGTAATTGTTTAAGGTTATTCTTCGTTAAGCACATACCAAGGGCAAAACGGTCAGAAGTGCACTGTAGGGTATTCTTGTCATCATCTTTGCAAAACAAAGTGGAATAGTCAGTCTTTGCTGGATCCTTTTTACCCTCAAGTAACTCACATTTAGATCCTTTCCCCAGCTCATCGGCTCTGCCATGTTGAAGTTCGCGCTGTAGAAGGGCATGGAATGAAATACTGCAAGTGTCAGTTTAGTGTAGTACATGCCAGTAACCCCCAAGGTATCACTGTATGCACTCATCAACTCATCCTTCGCAATACGTCTCTCACAGTGCGGAGGTGCACGTTCATTTGGTTCGTTTTCCAAATAGAAACCCTTTAATTCATTCTTTTTACAGTTGTAATGTTTCTTGAGTATTTCAAGAGTTTCAGAGGAGTTCATATAGAATTTTTTTGCACTGCTTGACCCTCCTGTAGATAGCAGATCATTTTCGCGGGGTTCTATCATTACCAGTGTTTCCATAACTTTATGGTCAAACCCCAGTCCATGCGCAATCTCATGTGCAGTCAACCGAATATACTGTCGTGTTGCTTCTATATACTCTGGGACGAATTTGATGAGGGCAGACGTCGGTCGGTTTTCTCCACCCCTACTGCAAATCCAACGGCCTATGGAATTGGTTGAAAGACTCACGTAAATCATAAAATCAACATCGGGAATACCATGAGTTTTATGTTCTTCGGGTATCTTGAAGTCCACGCAGTAATCTTGGTCAATAATATTTGTGATCTTTAGGTCCTCTTCCTCCTGTTTCACCTTAACGCTTAGACGATCTGCGTGCAGTTTGATGGCTTTGGGAAGGACCTCCTTAAAAAGAATATCCTTCTTCTGCGGTGTCATCACATTAGCATTTTCTTCTTCACAATGATCGCCAAACTGTTCAAACTTTTCTTCCAGATCATTATAAAAAACGTTATCTTGTTTTTTTTTGCGTTCGCAGTACTCCATTATATCCTCCACAAGTTTAGTATACACAGCAATGCGGATGGGCTTCCATTCCTCACCGTTCTTATCGTCAGACTCTGCAGTAGTAGCGACGGTGTATGCCTGTAGAGCACTTTCTCCTTTCTGTGGTAACTGCTGGACAACAGCAGCCAAACACCCGCAGCTGCAATACAACAGGAACAGTGCAGTCCACAGCAGGTGACGCATGGAGTGTTTCTCCATTTCTTAATAGCGTGAGTGTGTGTGTGTTGCTTTTCTAAGAACACACAGTAAAGAGAAAAAAAGAAGAGGAAGAAAAGGGAGAGAATGAAAGGTAAGCATGAATAGATATTATATTAGATCTAGCAGATAATTAAACACATGTATACATCAACAGTAATACTCTCGGAAAGAGAACAATAGTAGTTATGCCAAAAGTAGAATAAGAAAAGATATCAATATACCCTCTTGTGGTACACATACATACCAACAGTATCAACATCAATGCACTATGAGCAGATTTGGTGTTTTATGGTAATTGTAAGAAATGCAGAGAATAACAAATAGTCATAATAATGAGTGCTGTACTGCCTTTAAACAAGTGGAAAAAAAATAGAAAGAACCCATGGAAAGAGTGAATGATAACATGTGTTCAGATCTGTCCTTTGTATTAGAAAAAGACTGTGTAACTCATGCTTGACTAACCCACCAACTCAACTTGATGATAATTTATTTTTTCTTTTGCCCATCCGTGTCAGGAGTAGAAGAGCATAATAATAATAAAAATACACATCAGAAGAACCATAATATAATAGAGGAGGGGATTATATGAAATATTCCATCAGCTACAAAAACACTCCTGTACTAATTACCATAACCACAACACATACACAGAACACTGTCTATAAGAGCACTACTCACATTTCCAAGAGAAAGTAACATGTACAACACATTGCTTTTTAACTCTGTTTATTCAGTATAGATCTCAATTCAGTATTACTCCTCAGTGATTCACTCCCTGTAGTTGTTTTTGTTGTTTTTTCCCCTCTGTAGAATAGCAGTAATCCCATGTACATGGAGTTGTGTACGCCCCCTATTAATACTCTTTTCAGTAGGAATGCTTTTCCTTTCACCACAACAGAGACATTCATTTCCACTTGTGTTGTAGTTATCAATAGAAGGCGTAGAACACCTCTGCACTGAGAAATAGGATTGCAATGTATCCCCCCAAAAGAGAGAGATTTGTTTCATTCCATTCTATCAAAATGTATTCCAATAGTTCTTTCATTGTTCTTTCTTTTCCCCCTTTTACTTTTTGTTACAATTGATGGGTAGTAGGATCACTGTACCACTACCACTCAATGAGTTCTCGCACCAAATAGAGATACATTCTCTTCTTCTTCTAACCATGAAGAGTCAGGTATCATTTGTGCTATGGAAACTCCCATTAAGGTGTGACTGGTTACTATTTCCCAAAAAAAAAAATAAACATAACTCAATATTACGGAGATAAAGAAAGAAAACTTAGAATGGGACACAAGGAAATGTATATTCCCATTTCTATTGAATGGGATAAAGAGTCTCATGTGTTGTAGAATGTGTCCATTTGACTATTCTTATTTAGTTGGAGACTCAAAAGTGTCATTAGATCAGCAGTGTTAAGAGAGCAGCATCCATGTGTGTGTGTGTGTTATCCCTCCTGCGTTAATGGGTACTTTAATGCTTTTGTATTAGTGTGTTTATGTGCATTATCTCAACAATATCATTACCATTACCGTTTCCATTATCATTACCACTAATGCAGTCATCAGTGTCCCATACAATCATTCTCTTTTTCGGAAAGCACTGTGAAAGATGACGCCGCAGTTGTACTGTATCCAACTCCTACTCCACAGGGAAATCATAAATTGGGTTCCACAGAAACTTCACATCAATTGGAAGAGTTGGCGGATTCTCAAAGACTGCAGGATTGTTGCCATAATCCAGTGACACTCTAGAGTGAAACTCTTATCATTACTTCTTAAAGAAGAAAAAAAAATAATAATAAAAGAGAGAAACATATAAAAATATATATATAGTGCATGTCTCATTTTAAAGGGGCATTAAACTTTGACCACAAAGATAAGCGAGAAGAAATCACACAAAGATTATTATAGAAATAAAAGAAAGGAAAAGAAAAAAAAATAATAATAACTATACGATAATACGATAAAATTACTATAATGTCAACAAACTACGAGTGAAAGGTGGGAATATTTGGTTCTGGGGAACTCCTATAGACCTGTTCATCTGAATCAACGACATGAATACTCTTGATGTCCTCCTGTTGATTCTTTTCGAAAGGAACCAATGGTACACGGTCACCGTTTGGGGTGTAGACCCAATAGGTTCCATACCTATCAGGTACACCAGGTGACCAGTCAGATTTAAATGGATTTCGCTCAATAAAATTATTTTTCGTCATTTCACAATAGTCTGTTGGTAATCGAGATTTGGAATCTTGCTTCTGGGATTTTGGCGTGGTATCTGTCATCATCTGTAGGTTGAGACGTTTTTGCTGATCTCGAGATCGTCTATATACCTGAAGACGGTTAAAAGCCGATATAGTACTGGATGAGACGCTTGATTCACGTGCCCAGCTATGGGCCATTCCTGTTGTTATGTTCATGCGATGAATAAGATTCATAGATCCTTCTTCACTAACCGACATGCGTCGTAAAGAGAGAAGTGAAACATCCTCCTGTAAGGCTGGTAATTCATTGCATTGAATTTCTGATGGCTCCTTGTGCGTCAGAGACTCAAGTCTATTTGAGTAACGGAAAGTCATTATTTTATCTTGCATTTCTAACAGTTTTTGTTGAGCAGTGAGGAGTGAGTGCGATAAGTTTTTCTGCTTCTGTCGGTACTCTTCTAATTCTTTCATCTCAATTGCATTTTTAACAACAGGACCAGACTTTCTTTGAGCAATTTCTCTGCGCCTACAGAGTAACGTATACTCCCTTGTTAATTGGGCTTGTGCCATTCGAATTTTATTTATATGCTCTTCCATTCGCTTAACTTCCTTTACTAATCTCTGATCTTCTAACATATTCTGCCAAAGCATTTGCGCTGCTTTCCGTACAGCATCGTTCCTCTGACGTTCTTCTTCACGCTCCCTAGCTAGACTTTCTTCTACCAGAAGCATCCTTTCTTCTTCTTCCAACTCTAGTCGCTCATTTTCTCTTTGACGGGCTACTCGTTCATTCTCAACAAGAGCTTCAATTAAGGCAGTCAATGACTTGTTATATGCAGACTCGGTACCAAGTCGAACTTCTGCCTCAGTTCTTTGCAATAGCAAAAGTGCTCGACGATCAATGATAGATTTCCGTGTCCACCAGTGTTTCTCAACCTCTGTCCACTCTTTTGCCCAAGTATCGGCGTATTCTTCAAAACAACATTCTTCTTCACGAATGATTGACGTACGTGATGATAATTCTTCCAAAAAAAGATCTATGAATGCAAGAATACAACACAGATTATGATGCTCGTATCTTTGAACTTTCTTACGATATTCCATTTCCAAGTCTACCAATTTTAATCTTTCTTCCTCAACTTTTTGAAGAAACCACTGTTTTAGGCGTAATAAGAAAACCTCATAAGCGTTTCCTAGAGAGGTTTTTCGTTCCATAGCTTCTTCAAGTTCAATATCATCTCGCCCATCTTTTTCAGAAATATTGAATCCCATCAACTCTCGTAGTAAACCTCGACTAATGGCTTCATCAGTCAAAAAGAGAGAACGAGAAGAATTTTCCGCGTCTTCAAGGGCTTCTCTCTTTGCTTGGTACTCTTTTTGTTTCTGTTTAAACCAGCGTTCATGAATATCAGCATGATCCTTTACAGACATTTCTTGAATAACTGAAAAGGCGTCATGTTGCTCTTTTTCAAGAAGGTTACGTTCTTCAAGTTCATTATTCTGTAAAAGGAGAATTCCTCTAAATGTTTGAAGAAGATATCTCTCCTTCTGATGTAGTTCTCTTTGTCGCATTTCATGTTGTGAATGTAATGCATATATAGTAGCAGTGATAATGCGAAGTTGGAGACGAAGATGTCGTATGTGTACTTCTCGACGCGAGCGATATTGACAGAGAGCTGTCTGAATGGTGAGAATACAGCCCCTTTGTATAGCACGTACAATAGAAGACAAGTGTTGTGACACATTTGCCTTAAGAAAAACTTTTGTTTTCCCAACTTGTCCCTGATTAAAAGAATGAACACCAGTTCGCCGCATAATTTCCAATGCTGCTTCACGATCAAATAAATTTAAAGGAAATGAAGTTTGAAATTTCTTCACATCATATTCATCAAAATGTCCAAGTGAAGCAATAATAGGAGAGATAGATGTTAAAATAACTCTGTGCGCTTTTACAAAATCAACAAAAGGCAGACGAACAGAAAAGGAATTTTGACGAATTTTTACAGTTTCAAGAACTCCAGCAGATCGCATTTGTACCATGACCTCATTACCATTAAACATATGAGGTTTCTTTGAGCTATGGGGCTTAATACAGCGTATCCAATGAGGATGAGTTCCATTTATTTCATTCATAAGCTGAATAAGTTGATTTTTAAAAAACGATCCAACTGTATATTTAACACTCATTACCGTTTCTGAGGATTTTTGGTTTAAAAGAGAAGCAATAAATGGAATCGTACTAGAACGTATAGCATCTTTTAGAGATTCTTTTGTAGTATCACTATTTTTGGCACGAAATCCATCCACATTATATATAACATCACCAGCATAATGTTTTATTATAAATGAACTACGATCCGTTTTAACTCGAAGAAAATTAGAATGTCCTCCTTTACCATCAAGAAGTCGACCACCGTACAAATCACAGATTTTCTCACGAAATGATAAGTCATTTCCTTTTGCAAGTACAGATTCTTCATCAAGAAGATGTAGAATAGACATTTTATTTGTTATTTTTGAACCGCCATTTGGTCCACAGGATGAAAAATCCAATCCACAAATAAGATCTAAGCAGGGTTGATTATCATAAAAAACAACATTTTCTGTATTAATACCCTCTTTACGACATTCATCCATATCACGTGTAAAGACAACGCTATTATAGTGATTTTGTAGTGTTTCATTCGCCAAATTAATGCATAACTGTTCAAATGAGTTACCATGAGAAAAATTTTCAAATCCAAATATATCGAGTAATCCAATCCATGATACTAAAGATTGATTACTTACCTGAGGAGGTTTTATTAATTCATTTATACGTCCAACTAGCCACAAAAAAAGAGACTCATAGAGAGCTTTAGCAACCCCTTCACATAGATCCAAAGCTTGAGACTGGCGTAATTTTCGAATGATTGTTTCTCCACGGGTAAGATGTGTCGTTGTTGTTAATTCCTTAAAAAATATGTCATCTGATAACCCCAAAAGCTCCTTCACCATTTGTATATGAAGTTTAGCATCCTTTTCAGTCATGTCAATACAACACTCATCATCTGTAACTGTTTTAAACTTTAAGGAAAGCAAATGTAATACTACTCCAACTGTATTCCAAACTTGATCGATATCTGTTGTACTCATGCCAACAAAACGCATTGCTTGCATAACATCATTAAAATCATTAGCGTCATTAACTCCTTCAATTATTGTAGCACCTCCAATAGAAGTACATTGATAATTTTCAGCAGAATTTAATTGTAATTGATCTAGTCGTTGTTGCTTTTCTGTACTATTATCTCTAGCAAGAAGCTGATAGAAGCTATGATAACCACGCTCATCAAAACCATGAGTTACAACACGGGATCGTTCGAGTAGGTATACATTTATTAAAGATCCTGTAACTACAGCACCATTAGGTGAAGGTTTAAAAAATACTTTCATAAATTTCCCAAAACGAGAACTATTATCATTTCTTCTTGTTTTTGCATTACCAAATGCTTCAAGAATTGGCGAAGTCAATCTTACTTTTTTGGTCATTTCTTCAATAGAAGCTTTTTCTTTCAAACTACATTGAGTTGTTGAAACAGCACCAATATATTTAACAACAATTTTTGCTGTCTCAGTTTTCCCAGCACCACTTTCACCACTAACAATAATGCTCTGGTTATAGTTGTCAGAACACATACGCCAGTAACTGTAATGAGCTACTGTCCATGCATGAGGTAAGTTTTGTGAACGTCCTTCAATTACTGAAGATCCTTCCGCAATATATTTTGGCATCTTATCCTCTGTATAGTTTGGAAGCGTAAAATCATAAGGGTTAAGGGCCAACATTATAGGTCCAATATGTGTATAAATAAGGTTTTCATAGTATCGTACACGCACTTGTTCAAGTAAAGTTGCATCGTGAAGGTATGCAAGATCCAGAAGGTCATTCAATGTATTAAATGCTGTTGGTTCCTTGCAGGACTCGAGAATATGATGAATATCTTCCTCTTGTAATGGATAAACATGAAGAAGAGAAGGGTCGTTGAGTAAATCACCCATATAGCATTCCTGTAAAAGAGAAGAGCAACCGTAGACCACACGTGTAAATCCATCTTTTTTTGATACTCTTTTTATAGTTGTTAAACTTCCACGGATCCAACTTTCTGTAGGGTGTTTAAAGTAAATCGTATCACCAACGTGGTATCCGTTATTAGACTGTAAAGATATATCGGTCATTATATCAACTTTGGGTTACTAACCCTTTAAAATATTTTCTTCAGATTTCTTCTAATCTTGGATTCTTATCGTCTACTACTTATCTAATGTAGAAAAAAAAAAAAAAAGAGAAGCAAAAAAAAAAAATTTTATATAATCTTTGGTTAAAAAAAGTTCAAAAAAAAAAAAAGAAATATTTAAATAAATTTTTAAATCGGAATACAAGAGACAGTGCGAGATACGAAAAGAGAGAAAAAAAGAAAAGTAGTACAATCACCAAGTGGTAACGCACGAATAAGAGCTGTAAAGACGCAAAAGAAAAAAAAAAGAAAATATGTTTATTTCTTTTTCTTTTTTTAGATTTTTGTTCATTGCATTCTTTTTTTTTTTTTTCCTTTCTTTCCAAAAAATGTTTCTGCCATTTTCCTCAGTTTCTCGTTTTTTTCCTGGTTTTAAATACGACCAGAAGATCGTTTTAACAAATCAGCCGTATTGTATGAATGCCACGGCAGTACTGTACCCGTTCCTGGTTGATTAAGATGCCACTTTTGGTGGTGCTTCACCATCTCATACTCTTCTACCGTTGCTGGAAAGTCACGGTCTGTTGGTGGCCGCACGTAGTGTGAGTGTCGTCGCCCCGCCTCTGGGTGTGCGTACTTGCTCTCGTCCTCGTACCACCGCACGAGCCAGCCGCGTTTGGCGGGATGAGTGGCGAGGCTCTCGAGTCCCTTCCGCTCCGGCAGGTCCTGGTCGGGGAAGACGGGGTACTCCTCCGGGTGGAGCTCCTGGTAGAGGCCCTCGTGGGTCATGTACACCCCAGTGAAGGAGCCGCCAGCCGCCTCAATCAGGCGTATACATTCAGCAGACGCATTTTGCAGCTCAATATGTATGGGATACGGAACATGGCTTACACCACTACTAACAAGTACAAATCCAGGCCAAACAATCTCACGTTCCGCTACAACTCGTGCCTCACGAAGATGATACAATGTGATCACCTCATTCGGATTAAGACGTCCTGAATCAATTGCCCAAAGAAGTTTACTGAGTTTTAGACGTGAAAATACCAGTTTTCCTTCATATCGATTGCGTGGACCACCAGGTGAAACACGAGGTGCGAGCATAAATCGAGGAGTCATCTTACGCTCTTGCCACTGTCCACGAGCAAACACATTACGCCTATCATTATACCCTCTCGCATACTTCCAGCTTCCACCAATTTTCATCCATCCCATCCTAATCATATTGTGTCCACTTCGCTTTCCAACATATTCCGGAGTCGGAGTAAGATCCCTTCCTGACTGTATAATTTGTGGATTAAGGTATTGATCCCAGTGACTCCATTTATGTTGTATCGTCTTTTCATTTAGTCGAGAGCCCACAACGGGAAGTGGGTGATCTTCATCAAATTCTTTTCTACCAGCAAAGTCTTTCCAGTTATTTCGAGGTTTAGCAAGGAGGTTGTTGCTATTGATTAGTGGAAAGATAGATTTTGCCGGGCTCATGTGCAGCGGTATGGTCTCACGCCTCGGATGAAAGAGGCGATACCGACCCAGAAATTTCGTTCGGGAAAGCATCACCCCAACTATAAATTTTTGCTAATCGGTTCACCTCTAACAATAATAATAATAATAAATAATAAATGAGAAATTCAGTAAGGACGTATATGTCTGTAACTTTGTTTTTGCAGTAGCTCTTTCTCTTTTTTTCTTTTCTTTATTTGTTGTTGGGGAGTTGGGGAGGGGGAAACCTTCCTAAAACAAAAAAAAAATAAAAACGGTTTCTCACAACCCTATTCCCTCTTATCCCGTACTATAGATAAGGCAAGAGAAAAAAAAAAAATAATATACGGAGAAAAGAGTCACAAATATCGCTATAAATACATATGTATATAAATATATATATATATATATATATATATATATATATATATATATATATATATATATATATATATATATATANATATATATATATATATATATATATATATATATATATATATATATATGTATATAATGATGAAATTAATTCAAATTGAAATAATGTACTCATGTTGTATCCAACATAAACGCAAAACACACAGAAAAAAAAATACCCAGTATGATGCTAGGTTGTACGAACTCCACGTTGTTTTCACCCCATTTTTTTTTTTTTTCTACATGAACAGAGAGGGTTAATGCATCATTTCAGGAAAAAGAACCAAAATAATATACTGAGGATCATACCGACACAAATCGGGAATCCACTTGTTCACATATCTCATTGAATACAGTTTCCGTCGAACGGCTACCATCAATACGAACCAAAAAAGGCTTGTAACACTCAATAAGTTCATCTTTTCTCGCCTCAAAGAAATTCCAACGTCGCATAATAGACTCCAGTGAGTTATCACTACCATTCATTGGATCAACTTCCATCACAGGTGAAGCAGGTGCATCCTCGATCTGGTGGTTATCGTGTGTAGTGGTATCAGATTGACGTTCTGTACACCTTTTTACTGCCACTTCACTAGGAACATCTATTAATATAAACAAACGTGGTGATATTCCTGCTTCCTGTAGACGTAATGCCTGAGATCGTGTTTGAGGAAATCCGCTGAGTACCCATCCTTTGTTTGCAGCTTCTCCTTCCCTCACTCTCTCAATAATAAGGTTGGCAGCAATACCACTGGGAATCTCATTACCTTCACGTAATTTACTCTCCAAGATTTTTCCCTCTTCTGTCCCTTTCGCTATTTCGCTTTTAAATACATCAATAGCGTTAATAAGAACCGCACCGTATTTTTCCGCTAATAAGGAAGATTGTCTCTGTTTTCCACTCCCGGTGGCCCCGACAACCATTAGCCTCAATGTCGTCTTTTTTTCAAACGCCTTTAGTAAAAACTCAAGAGGCTTTTCTGGAAGTTCTGTCAATATATCATGAAAAGCTTCTTCCAGAATAACCTTCACATGTTTCTCTTCCATATATGCAACCACATCTTCAGGAAGTTCTCCAGTCGACATCTGTTGGTGACCTTTGTGTTAGTTTATCTTCCTTTTTATTTATTTATTTTTTCTTCTTCTCGTATTATCTATTTATTGCTTTAATACTATTATACTATCACAAGGCAAAGTATAATATTAACTGAAAAACGATAAAAATGAAAAGAAGTAGATTCTAAGAAGTAACTAAAATACCTCCACTCCACCCTCTACAAACACATCGTCATTGACTACACTTTAAAAGAAAAATATTAATAATAATATATATTCTGAGTTCACTCTCTCGTATTCCATTGATAATCCATTTGTTTTGTTTTTTTTTTCTTTTTTCTTCTGTTCGTTTTTATTTTATTTCTTAAACTTATTCCCTTACTTTAGCTCGAGCGTAGCGGTGTAACATCGCATAGAGGGGTCATCTATTGCAGAAAGAGTCAATGCCACATCTAGTACTGCATCTTCAGTCGATGTAAACGATAAAATTTTTTCCGACCGCACCATCGAAGGCAGGAGAATTGTTGCCTGTTTCCAATGTGTGGGTGGAGAATGGGGTGAAGTGCTTAACACCAAATCTCGAAAGTGTACATCAAACCATACTGTAAATCCATCAATAACAGCAGTGTGCCCTGCTTGATCAGGAAAAGACTGCTTCTTGAACACTGGGGAAGATCGAAGATCAAAATGAACATCACTACTTATCACCCAAAGATCATCTTGAGTAACTATAGCCAAATCAAACTCTGCAAATTTTACACCCTCGTGCAGCAAACAAGACGATGGAATCGTATCAATGAGAGGTGATGTATTTTCAAAACGTGCCTCACATTCTAATTTACCGTATCTACTGAAATCGATACCGTCCAAACTACCCCAGAATTTATGGTATCGTTCCTCATAGTATGGGTCGCAGTTCATTGGTGCCACATGTATTGTTGCCCGTTCAGGCACTATTTCCATACGGCGTGAAATACCCAATAGTTGGTTCACTTCATCAAAAAAGTCACGCGCGCGGATGACCGAAAGTAACATACCTTCATGCAACAAAAAGAATCCCATCCATTCCGATACTATTACTGAAATTCCAGAATCTTTTAGAATGGATTCATGCTGAGCTACAAATTTCTCAGCACCACATTCAATAATGTTTTCCATAGTGTCACCAAGTACCGTAATTTTTTCTGATAAGCCATTATCTGCTATAACAAGACTTTGAGCCTGACTTAAAGAAGAAGCCTCAATAGAGAAAACGTGCTTCGCCCCCGCACGTGCTGCCCAGATGGATAAAATGCCCGTGCCAGAGCCCACGTCTACGACTACACGATCCCGCACAAGGGCATCACACGACATCACTTGTCGAAAAAAGGACATCCGCGGTGCATCTTCTAACATGACACGGTGAACAGATGGGTCCGCGTACCCACCAAAGTACTGCTCTTCAATAGACCCAGCGGAGTCATAGTCTTCAATAAATCCCTGAGAACCCATGATGAAGCTGTCAAGAAAAAAAGAAAAAAGAGCAATAGAAAAATATTGTACAAAACCCATTTGAAAAAAAAAAAAAAAAAAAAAAACATTTTCATGATATAAGTATTTTTTTTTTTTTATTTATGTAAAATAATGTCTTTTGATTTTCTTCAAGTTCTGAATTATATTTATTCGCCCAACTGATGTAAATAAAGAATAAAAATGCCCTCCAGAAAAGCCTGGTAAAGCACCGTGGGCGTAGGTAACAGCTCATATTAAATCATTTAAAAATCTTTTAATTAAACATCTTATAATTGATAAAGTTCTGCCACGCCTTTGGACAATTTACGCACTTTTTGAAACATCTCACAGGCCAACATAGCATTACCGTTGCTCTCTGCTACACGTGCCTTTTCATAGAGCTCAAACGCTTGTTGATCCCTTTCCTCTGTAAGAATAGGTGGGTCACGTCGGTACAAAAAATCACCGCGCAAAATGTACTTGCAACAACCATCCCCAACAGGTGATGCCTCATGTAATACATCACAGTAAAAAAACACAGCAGAACCTTTCATTGGCCTTACAGCACCCACACGATTTTCTTGCTTACCAACAAACTTACCACTTTCAATATCACGTTCAAGAACATTCGCTTGTTCACCAGTAAATATCATCGTTTCTCCCCCAATTTTGCAGTCATTAAGGTAGATAAGCAGTGTATAAAGAGACCGTGTATTAAGATCGACAATGGTGGAGCCGTCAACATGAGGAGAGAAGTGACCTCCTGGTCCATACCTACCAAACAATAAGTTAGACGCCAATTCTACTGGCACCCATTTCCCCTCTAGGTCACGTGCAAACAATTCTTCTGCGTTTTCCATTGATGAACTGAAGATCTTTGGTTCTAGTTCAACTACTTTCTGAATACGGGTAGATAATGCCTGTGAAAGTTTCGGGAAACTTGCCTCAATTGTATCAACGACGCGAAACGCACGACTCTCTTGATTACAACTGCATTCATCCATAGCGTCATGTGCGTTTGCATCTTTCTGTTGCCAGAATGTGTAACCCACTTCTTCACAGGCAGAAATGATCTCATCACACTCTTCGTTCGAAAGAAAATTCTCTACGAGAACAACATCCACACTATCATCTACACGACTTTGCGTGACCGCGCCAATTGGCATAGGACTTATAGGGACTACATCAATTAGCTCCTTGTTTATTGGCTCACCCTTGTCAATGATGTTATTGTAGCTGTACATTTCCCGAAAAACGTAAACCACCCGATTCCTCAACCTTAAATCGTAGAAGAAGAAAAAAGAAAAAAAGAATAGAAAAATAATAATAATAATGAGAAGAGCTTTTTTTCTTTTTGAATTTTTCCCTCTTGAAGAAAATGAGGCATGTCATAATGACTAGTTTAAAGCATAAACCTCTTATTTCTAGCAGAATATACTTTAAAAAAAAAAAAATCCTTTTAATCGAGAAGAATGGTGTGGAGAGCCAATTTGGGATCAAACCATGCTTTGGCCTTTTCATCATTGTGCGCAACCGTGCACATTGACATGGCAGCCGTTTGTGCCAACGTTTTTAGTTTTGTATTGTGTGAAATAACGTTTCGAATAGTTGACGTAATTGGAGCGAAAGGTGGCACTGTATACGGCTGAAGTTCGCTTCGACATCCTAATTCCTTGAGGTATTCTTGTTTTTCCTTAGACAAATCTTTTTCATCCATATGTGTCATTTGAATTTCAGCTGTGGAACGTTTTGTATTGGTGAGTGTGTCAAAACGTGCGCTATTAGTTTTTCGCTCCCGCGCTGATGAAAGTGAGTTACCTTCATTAAAGCATGGTAAAATAAGAATACTGCTTCCACGCATTCCCATTCTCCCAACACGACCTATACGGTGTACGTACGATTGCACAGTAGTTGGGGGTTCAAAGTGATAGACGTAGTCCACATCACGAACATCCAGTCCAAATGCGGCCATGTCTGTGCAAAGAAGAAGAGCTCCTTTTCCATGTGGTTGACGTCCATCACGTTTCCACCCACTGATGTAAACTTGATTCTTCTTTTCAGCAGCAGAAAGGGGAGTGGTTGGTTTTGTCTTTTTATCTCCAAGTTCTTGTTGTTTCGAATCTCTCTGATGATTAAGAAATGCATTGTACTGTTCAAGCCGAGATCGCTCACTCATCCCCTCATACATAACGTAGATATGTTTGATGTACAGTAGTGGACGTTCATTTTCTGTAAGAACAGAAAAAAGTTTTTGCACAAATTTAAGTGTTTTAGCACTGTTAAAAAAGATAAAGTGTTTCTTTGAAGCATGAATATTCATCAATTGAATTAAAAGTGGTAGAAATTCGTATGCGTCACACACAACATATCGATTCTGTAACTGTGTAACAAAATCTTCTGCATTATTAAGTACAACAGTGTGCATTATAGATCCCAGTTTAGAACCAATATGTGATGCGTACTCTTGTAACTCACTTGAGGTAGATACTGTTGCACCAACAAAAGCCACATCCATTTGAACACATAATGAGGAAGATGATGATGAAGAAGAAGGTGTTGTAGAAGTTACTTTACGTCGCTTCTGTTGTGGTTCTTCCGTACGTCCATAGGTTGCAATAAACTCCGTCACAATACTACGCATCTCTTCAGAATGAAAGATAAGATCTGCTTCGTCAACAATAAGCACGAACCGTTCTTCATGACATCCACGTAATTGTACTTTAAACCCAGAGTCCACTTTATTTATTTTATTTTTCTTATGTTTTTCATAGTAACGTCGCCTTGTTTCCTCATCTTGTTCTGCAAGTAATTCTTCCATATCATCACATGTTTCATTTGCTGAACGATCAGCTTCCCAAGCGGTTATAAAATCGACCAAATCATGCGGTGTAGTCACGAGAAACGTTCCGGCCCCACGCGCTGCAGTTTTTATCCCCTCGAGTGCAGCAGCAGCCGATTGCATGGCGCCATCACAGAGTGCAAAGCGTATGGCGTGTGGGTATCGAGAAGAAAGATTTCGTCCAACCACAAATGTCTGTTCTGCCAGTACACGTGAGGGTGAGAGAATAACACCAATGAGATCACGTCGCAGTAAGGGGCGATTGTGTGTGGCCACGTAAGCTTCGCACGCCCGCACGGTGCGCTCCATCAGTGGAATCAAAACAGCGAGTGTCTTGCCACTGCCGGTTGGGGCCTCCACAACGGCGCTGTTGCCGGAATCCCTAAAGACGCTTATGGTGCGGGACTGCACAGATGTTGCGTGTGAAAAGAAGAATACATTCTTCAGTGCAAAGATGGTGGCCTTGTGCAGCGGGGGAGACAACTCCTCCCACGGGAGTTCGAGGGCCTCATCATTCCACGCCTTCTCCTCCGGCTCCCACTGCCGTCGCAGTCGCTTTACCGCAATCGCAGACACCGACATGGAGTAGAAAGAACACTAAACAAACGCAGAGAAAAACACAAAGAAAAAAAAGAGGAAGAAAGAGAAAGAGGTACACGCAATGAAACACAAATATCAAAAGAGAAATGCAGAGAACTAAAAACCTCAGAAGGAAAAAAAAAAGAGTTTAAAGGAGAAAGCAGGTAGTATAAAAAAAAAAAAAAAAGCAAAGAAAACAATAACAAAAGAAACATCAAATGAAACATAAAAAGCATAAAAAACAAGACAAAAAAAAAGAAAGAAGAAGAAAAAAAAAATTGTTCCTATCTTCAATCACTATCAAAATGATTACAACCATTTCCAATATTTGGTCCGCAAAAATGCCTCCTGTCCCTTCCTATTTATTTCTTTTTTTTTTTTTCGCAAACTCTTCTGCGATGGATGAGGTTGGTAGGCGGCGGTAGCTAGGTTGTTGTTATCTTTTTTTTCTTTTTTTTCTTTCCTTTCGTTACTGTTCTGTTTTGATGTACTTTCACTGTTATCAAATTCCGTTTCTTTATTTCTTTGTATTGTATACCTCTCCTTGTATAGAAATGTATAACGCAAAAAAAAAAACCGGTCTATTTCACACGTATAAGAGCCACAATAACACCACTCGCCACAAACGCGAGACATGAGATGGAATACACGACAAGAAACCCAAGGTGACTGTAGCGCACAATACCAGCCTCCGTGTGCGTGACAAAAGCGTGCAATACACCGCCGTACACCACTTGTCCAATGAGAGTACCGACGGTCGCACTTGTAGAGAATAGTCCCAAATCTTTCGCGGCGTCAACGGGGGCACCACATTTACGCGGGAGAGTTGCGATTCCGAGTGCGTGGTCAACAGATAGATAAGACGCGCTGCCAACACCGTGGAGGAAACCGACGGCGTACAATAATGCCATATCACGCACCATCAATAGTAACACAAGTGAAGACGCACATATAAATACAGCAGCGTAAATAACAGGTTTTCGTCCTATACGGTCAGAGAAAATACCACTTGGAATGGCACCCACTAAACCACCAAAAAGTGCTGCAATAGATAGTGCCGATGTGATGCGTACCGGAACAGAAGATCCAAATACATCACGTACAAAAAAAACCAGATACACTTGTGCTGCCAAACCAAAATTAAAAAGTGATCGACCGATACATGCGAAAACAAAATCAGGAAAGACACGAAATGAAGGCATTGTGAATGCAGCAGTCACAACATCACAAAGTCGGATAGGAACTTGAGACTGTCGAAGAGGTTCCACATTTGGTATAAAAGACATTGTAATAACAAGACAAAAAAGTGTAGCAAGTACGTAACTACATAAACAATAAGTAACTGGTACGTCAAGGGCCAGCATAGCGTAACCTACACCACTCCCAGTAAGGGCTAGAAGAGCCATTGCACCACTTCCTTTTCCGGTCTGCTCTTCAAGAACATAATCATTCAATAAAGCTGCTATCATACTATACACGATTGAAAGACCCATAGCTGACGCAACTTGTGCAATACATAACACCACCATCATCTCCGTGACTTCAGCAAGAAGAAATAGAAAAAGACCAATAATAGTTACTGCAGATCCATACATCAAAAAAATGGCTCGACTGCCTATGCGATCACTGTATGCTCCAATTAGGGGACTTGAAGCTTGACATATTGCCCCTAAAGTCATTATTGTTCCTACCCACAAACTCTGTGTCCCATCAGTAAGACGAGCGACAGTTTTTGGAATCAATATGTTGCTCAGGGTATTAAAGCACAATGCATAACTAAAAGACATAGACAATAGAATTAAAAGTTCTTTCATGGACATCAATCGCTTCTGTGGCAAAACAGATGTAGGTTGCTGTTCATAGGAGAAAATATATTCATAGTCGCTCGTACCACTAGACGTGTCAAGTCTACTTTTATCTTCATAGTGGTGTCCTTTGACAGCTGGCATGACGTACGAGTATCAAACTCCTCACCGAACTGTCTAGAAATAAAAACTATACTATAATAATAGAAAAAAAAAGATAAGAAAAAAATAAAGATACATTTTAAACAAATAAAAAAGGTAAACAAAAAAAAAAAAAAATAGAAGTGAAAACAAATATATTTTTTTGTTTTTTATAATACACTTTCACATTGATATGTTTCCATTTAATTATATATAATAGAATCCCTACCATATACTTTTTACCTTTCATTTTCTTTTTTCATCTTGCTCTTCACTCTTTCTTTTTTCTTTTTCATAATACTTGTTCTTTTGTTGAAGTTGTTTATGTGATGTATGTGTGTACGTGTAAGTACATATGTGTATAAGTGTTTAACCTCCTTTTTTTTTATTTTTCTTCTTTTTTTTTTTTAATCTTCATTCCTCATCGCATGTTAAATTTAGTGCGGAGGGATTCGTAACGTTTCAAATCTTCTTTTGAAACAGATGGTTTCAACTGGCTCCGTGCCCGTAAAAAGTCAGCCATGCGTACCACCAATTGTGGACCTTCATTGCTGTTGTTTTCCTCTACAGTGTTTGTTGTTGTTTTTGTTATTTCTGCGTCTTTCATAGCGTCTTGTAGCATAGTTTCGACGGCAAACATCATTGCATCTGAGCATAGGGCAAATAAGTCTGCGCCTGTGTACTCTAGTGAGAGCGTGTCCAAGAGGGTGTCGAAGTCCACGTCCTTTGCGAGATTGAACTTTCGTGTGAGTGCGGTGATTGCCTGCCGCTGCTCGTGTCGGGTGGCTGGGATGCCCAAGTAGCAGAGGGTGTCGAAGCGGCCCGGGCGGAGGAGGGCGGGGTCGAGGAGGTCCGGGCGGTTCGTCGCGCCCACGACGAAGACGGCGGCGGCGGCGGTCCCGTCACTCCGCCCGCGGACGGCGCCGTCCATCTCGACGAGGAGCTGCGCGGCCACGCGGTCCATCGCCCCGCCGGCGTCCCCCGCCGCCCCCCGCGCCGGCACGAGCGCGTCGAGTTCGTCAAAGAAGAGAATGCACGGCGAGTGGTCCCGCGCCCGCTGGAAGAGCAGCCGGATGTTCCGCTCGCTCTCGCCAACGTATTGGTTGATCAGCTCAGGACCCTTCACAGACATAAAGTTCATCCCCATCTCCGTCGCAACCGCCTTCGCCAGTAACGTCTTCCCACACCCAGGAGGACCATAAAAAAGAATGCCAGTACGTCGCTTCGTACCGCTACTGAAAAGCTCAGGGTGAAGCAATGGAAGCTGAATCGTTTCGCGTAACTCACGTTTCGCATCTTCTAACCCACCAACATCACTCCAACGTACTGGCTGCAGTTTTGTGGAAACAAGATTGTATCCATGAGCTTTTTGATATTTTTCTAAGATACTTCCACACACATTTTCTGAAAGAACGGGATATACACCCTCTGCTAAAGGCATCATCCTCACAGCTGATACACACTCCTGTATATACGCTACCACATCAGAAACACTCAAACCAACTGTCCATGATGCTACAGAATCGAAAGATAACAACAAACTTTTACAAAGTCCAAACAATCTCTGGGCTTCAGCAAAAATATTGGAGAGAATTAAAAAACGATCCGCATCTGATGGGTTAGTCCCTTTAATTACACCTTCCACATTACAAGCTCTAGCAGCTATAGTAGGTGGTGGTGCTTCTATAGACTCACAAACAAGAAATATCACACGAGTACAAAAATAATCATCATATTTATTATCATTTGAATCAAATAAATGTAAAATCTGTAAATGTTCTGTAAGTTCTTGTGCATTCTTCACAATAAGAGCAACTTCACCTCTACTATGCATGTAATCTGAAATAAGTTCTAGCATTTCCTCATCACTTCGTCGTTCAAGATCTACTATAAGAGCTTCAATCCCATTTGCTCCAAGTGCTGTAGCAATACATTCATATGGTAAGTTTTCTTTTGTTGCGTGTATTACAAATATGCGAGTTTCCGAAGAATGTGATGGAGAATAACAGTAATCCATAGCGTTACGAATACCAACTGTAAGGGATAATTGTGGGTGAAATGTTTTCAATGGAGAAAAAGGTGAAAATAATGGTGTAACATCTGCAAAAGATAAAGAACTACGTAGAGAGAGTAATAACTCTGTCCCATTTCCATTAAGAGCAAGTACACCATATGATTTACCAGAAGAACTCCGAACTTCAGAAACACGGAGTGGTATAGCAATAACCCCATCATGTAAAAGTGATATCTTTGTCGTCTCTGCATAGCCACCCTGAACAATATGTGTAACATGTGCCAACATAACCTCACAAGCATCTGTACACACCAATTGTTGTTCAACAAAAGAACGTGGCGTGACGCGAAGAATAACAATGTCCCCTTCTCCAACGATACGACCATGAAGAATATCCTTTGAAGCACGCAATGCGAGTGTTAATAACTGCTCATATTTATCCCCAAAAAGTGCAGTTAACATAAATGAGGGCCATGCTGGCACAAAAATAGCACAAGAAAGTTCTAACTCTACGTCAAAGTTTGTAGAATTTATCGTTAATGGTGTACCTTTATCATCTTGTATACCGATAAAAAATGACAAGGGAATATTCAGATAAGAATCGGAATATCGTATTTCATCTGATACAACACTCGGTAGAGGATCCAAAAGCAGACTAGCACGTATGTTACGAAATACTTCAGGAGAAGTACGAAGTGTAGGTGGTACAACACCATTAACATCAGCTAAATAATGCTGTTGTTGTTGTTGCTGTTGCCTCTCTCCTTCCTCCTCTTCAGAAACAGTGAATACAGTAGTGTACTCATCATCACCAAGAGATACTAGAGCACCATCGAGAAGAAGTGTGCGTAGAAAAAATTCCCGTGATCCTATGGTCATATTTCCAGTGAGTGAATAATCCAGTATTACCCTACACATATCACTGTCAACCTCATCATAGTCTCTTTGACCTGTCGGTTGCACATTTTCCTCTACCACAGTTTCTCTAGCAAGAGGAGGTGGTAGCACAACAACAGTTGTTGTTTCGCAAAGTACTCCAGCCGTTGCCGGAATCAAATCAACTACAGAGAGATTAACCGGGCATCCATCGCATGCTGGTATCACTTGACCCAAGTGCACCTCTGCATTCTGTGTTATGAGTTTGTGCAGAAGCGGAAGCTGTTCCCCATCTGTGTGATTGTTCCTTACCACGAAACGCTTGTAGTCATCTAGCGTCTCAGCACGCAGAATACATCTCTCAAGATGTACTGGAGAAATCATTTATTGGATATTCACACTCTAAACCACACCACAATAGAACTAGAAAAAGAAGAAGAAGGAATTAAAATCCAGAATAGCGGCCCAAAAAAACAAATATATATATATATATATATATACGTATGTATAAAGAATTAAATAAATAAATAAATAAATAAATAAATAAATATATCAATAAAAGTCAATGAATCTAAAAAAAAAAAAAAAAAAAAAAAACTCTCACACAAGGTACAATTTAATCGCATTAAGATATCCAAAAATAAAAAAGCAAAGAGTCATACGTATAAACAGTTCCACTATTGTTCCCATACTTTTTTTTTCCCTTGTCACAATTTTAGTTGCGTTAAATCACGCAACGTTAACCTAATGGGGATGTCAAAGGGAATAAAAAACTGCCTGAGTTCATCCACTCCACACTTCTCACCAAGTACATCACTTTTAAAAGCTAAAAGACAAGCTGTGAGGTCCACTAATGACGGTTTCTGTGTTGTTTTTATTTCATGGGTGTGTATCAACAACATTTCGTCAAGACAAGATTGATTTGTATGATGCACAGTTGAGATGGGTGTTTCACTTAGGAAATTTTTAATCGCTCTAAGAAAATTCTTTCGATTATCCCATATGTAAGGTGGAAACAAAGCCGTGGAACCACTTTCCGCTTCTTCCATATACATCAAACATCGCGCAGTAGTAGAGAGGTATTCAGCGTATGCAGCGAACATAGCTCCCACATCTCCAAGATGTTTTCTTACTGCTTCCCATATGGCCTTTTTTTTTTCGGTATCACTCAATAATTGAGTACATTTATTTGCGGTAAAGAGCTTATTTTTTTTGCGGATTCGCAATGCAACGTACCTACAGGCAATCTCAAAACGTGTTTTATCAGAAAATCCTAATGCTTTCCAGAACATTGGACCACATGGAATACCATTATAGCTAGAAACTGCCGTAACTAATATATCATCATCTTTTTTACTCCAGGAGTGTGAATCTGATACTTCTTCTGCATTCTCTTGCATCGTTGTTATATGAATCTCACGCTGTAATAGTGGAAATGATGAGAATGCTTCACGCCAGCGGATTTCATCCTGTGAGAGTGGAATTTGCGCGTATCGTGGAATCCCTCCCTCCGCATAAATACCAGCATCTCTAAAGGGACCAAGAGATAAACTTTGATTCATATATGTATTAAGATAGTACAGTGGTAAAGAAGAATTGGCACGTTCAGGTTCACGTTTCCTCATAAGACGTCTACGTATCTTAGTGCAGTTGTTTGATCTAGAAAGAGCTGCTCTAAGTGCTGATATACGATTCATCGCTTCTACAAGCTCCGTGTATTTCTGCTGAAGTTCTATTTGTAGTTTAGAATTCATCAGAAGTGCTTCATTCACATCCTCTAGAGTAATGCCAAGGGCAGTCATCTACTATTGAACAGTCAAAAAATAAAAAAAAAAAAAGAAAACAAGAATAATTAAATAAGAATATTTATAAAAATAAAACATCTTGCATAAGAACATCTACATATCTCTAGATATTACAATCAAAGACAATATAAACATATATATATATAAACACCGATGAGGCTGTTAATGCAAAATAGACGTATTTTTAACTATCAAATTCAGCTTTTCTTTTTTCCTTTTTATTATACTCTATAAGTTCATTTTAGAAGACCTGGAAGAATAAAGATACAAAATTTTTTGTTAAACAGAGTTTTAATTTTTTATTTTATTTTTACCTCCAATATTTAATTTATTCATCCTTCTCTTCATCTTCTTCGTCAGCAAGTCGTTTCTCGTACTCCTCCCATTCCCTTTCTTTTTGCTCGCGCCGTTCACGGAAAAAGCGTGCTTCTTCCTCTTCCCGCTCTTCTACCAATCGGAGTTGCTCAAGCAATCTCTTTGCCTCATGATAACGTCTATTGGCAAATAATGATGCTTGTTTCTGAATGCGTCGTTCTGATTTTTTCTTACTGGATTCATTCTCTTCAAATGACTCCTTCGCCATAGCTATCCAAAATGGTGCAGTTCGTGCAAAAAAATCTGATGTCTTTTCGTCTTTTTGTGGTGTAGGTACAGCAGCACCAGCAGCAAGCTGAGCCAGAAGCTGTTCTTTGTGTACTTTAAGACCTTTCTTACCTTTTACTGTTGTAATGCCCTCCACAATATTTATCGCTGGAGTTACAGCCGTATCAAGTTCTGCTGGAATCGCCATTGGTGCCTCGTCGCCGTCATCCTCCACGTATGCAGTGTTATTACCTTCATTGACGTCGTCCTCGTCATCATCGTCATCCTCATTATCAAAGTCAAATGCAGCGCTGACAACAGTACTACCGCTCTCCCAAGATCCAGCATCGCTAGCCTCACCATCTTTACCAAGCCAAACAGTACTGGAAAGATCTTGCGACAACAACACGCGGTAAGTATCACATGTGTTGAGGTTAAGGCTGAAGAGGTCAGACATCGTAACCTCACGGGTACCAGCCTCAAATTGACCACCGAATAAATAAAGTGTATTGCCTACAATAAGCATCGCAGCATTCATGCGACGATGAGGGTAGATCTGACCCCGTTTATTCACTTCATAGCTATCTTTCATATCGCTGGTGAGCAATGCAGTACCACTCTCACCTCCTTCCTCTTCATCATCTTCTTCCTCTTCATCATCATCACTTGAAGTAGAATCATCAGTAGTATGTTGTAAATTAAGAGCTTTTAATTCTGCCTGTAGATCATCATGAACCGTCTTGCTAGCCGTTGTTGTTTTCTTTGCACGAAGTACAATAGGGTAAAAACGTTTTGTATCCATATGAAAGACGAACAGGTCGTTGTTAAAACTTGAGACAACCTTTCCACCAGGTGACTCAATATCAACAACTCCGCCAAAGATATACATTTTTTTGTCTTTAAAAGTAGACCCAACACCTGAACGAATTGGAGGTGGGATACCTCCTAATCGAATTTTTGTCCAAATTGCAAAATCGTCTTCTTTTTCAGTATCATTACCCTGAGGAAGTTTAATTGTCCAAAGATCATGATGAACAGTTGCCTGTGATTTTTTAAATCGGTTAAATTTCTCTGCGGAAAAACCACCATATACGAATAAAACGTCATTGTGAACAGCCATACTATGACCACTTCGTGGATGTGGTGATTCAGCGTATGGAGAAGTTTTTACAGCTGTCCATTTACCAGCCCCATCCAAATGTGATAACACCCAAAGATCATTAAAATAGTGACATTCTTGAGCGTTATCATAGAAACCTCCAAATAAAACTGCATTACGACGCCACATACACATGCGATGACCGCTACGAGAAGATGGACCACCTTTAAGATTCTTTAATTCTTCCCATTCATACTTTCTTGAGTCAAAGCGCCAAACATCTTTAAAATGCAAGAACTGTGACTGCGACTGAGACACAAATTCTCCACCACAAATAATAAAAAAATGCTTGTAGGTGACACCCTGACTACTACTACGTGGTGGTGGATTAACCGCTGTCACAAGCCGTGACCACTCGTTTCGCTTAATGTGGTAGAAGTAAAGATCATTGAACGCAACCGTTTTCTCACCATCCCAGTATTCGCCACCAAATACCAGCAACTGCTGGTCCCTTTCAGGATGTGGCGAAAAGACGACATTCGCGCGAGGACTTGGTGGAGTGACGTTTTCCTCTTCAATTGTTGTGCGTGTCTTTCCCTCCATCTTACGGATGCGTGTGAGGGTGACCTCTGGTGCCTCTTCATTATTGAAACCGCCGCCCTCCAGCCCGTCGGCGGCTTGCGGGTGTTGCGAGTGGAGGTTCTTCGTCCGCTTGTGGGCCTGGCGGCTGGCCCGCTGCACCGCCTTCTCCGGCCCCTCGTGGCGCCGCCGCCGGTCCCGGCCCTTCCCCATCGCTCTCTACTCGAAAACCAAACAGGCTTCTGCGCTGCGCTCGGGTATACTCTATCACACAAAACCCAATAGGAAAGAGAAGAGAAAAGAAGAGAATAGCAAATCATAAAGGTTTAAAATAGGAAATTTATACAACCAGTTTGCGCAGCGACCACTACAGAAGACATTCAGGAAAAGTACCAACAAAACAAAGAAAACAAGACACACAAGCACACACAAAAGAACACACACTCTATAACTGTGCCAGTATGTGACTAAAAAATAGAGGGATAAAACATTCCGGTATTCAGTTAAAAAAATGAAAACCAACCCATAAATAGATTCCATTGCATCTCACTTCGTCCATTTAAATTTTTAACATTATCTTGCTCCACATTCAAAGAAAAAGCATAAATAAATATAAAAACCACGAACGCAGCGAAAACAATTCTATATCATACGAATTAACTGGGTATTTCTTTTTCATTCCACAAATAACCACAAACTATATCACCTCAATTCACAAGGTTACCCCAAAATCTGCTTTGATCTCACCTTTCCAAAAAACGTGAAAAAAAAAAAACGGTCAACGAATTGGTATATTACAACAAACGACCACGAATTAAGAAAGTCAAAATAAAAATAATGAAACATCTGAATTTAACATTGAATACAATGAATTATCAGACATGTAATGAGTTTTCACCAATTATCATAAAAAAGGTTTTTCTCCATACACCTTCATTATATTTGCTTTATTTTCCATTAAAAATAACAATTCCAAAAATATTAAAAGTATTACCTTCTCAATTCATGTTTTACAGATTAAAAAAAAGGGGAAGAAAAAAAAAAAAAAACAAAAATAAAAAGATTGGGGGAGATAATAACAATAATAAAGAAAGAATTTCGTTTTAAAATATCTCAAACCTACTCAACATTGCGAACAGAAGTTGTTTCCGATGTTTCCCGAGATGCCTGCTCCCTTTCCTCACGTGTGGCTCGAACAAAGCGCATGTATGAGAAATACATAACTAGCGTTGCCAAAAACGCCAACACTGAGAGGCAAGCCAATATAATGAATGATGTCTGGATGCATTTGCGCCCAAAACAACGGACGTTGCCATCTTCATCGGTGAAGGAGTGCTTTGTCATCAATTCGCCAAACATAAAACGGTTACAGATCACAGCACCAATTAGATCAAAGAGGAAGAGGCTGTTGTAATGCTTAGCCACATCAATGCTGTAAATCGTCCGTACAGTCAACACAAGTGCAGCTGCGTACGACCCATTAAGCAATCCACCAAAAAGCATTGGAAGAATTAATGCGTTGGTCGGTACAACGAGAAATAATATTGACGACAGACAAAGAAAGCAAGACGGTGCACAATAGGCGATGATAATTGGAATACGTTTTTCCAGTGGCCGGCTTGCATTCCATGCCT